ACCGGCCGGGGCCGGATTTTTGTTACCATTTTACATACGTTAGAAAAAATACTCACATTTACGGTTATCTACATGTTGAACATCAAAAAATAACACCAAGCAAATAGTTAATTAATTCAAATATATGAATAAGTTGTGTGATACGCCAAATTCTGTACACAAAGATCAGCTTATAATTTATGCATAATCCATGTTATAGCATAAAGAAAATTGTCCAGCTCATCTCATAATTAGTGATGTTGTTATTATGTGTCAAGTATGCACGTGCACAAATTCTTTTACACAAAGATCAGCTTATAATGTATGCATAACCCATGTTATAGCTCAAAGAAAATTGTCCAGCTCACCTCACAATTAGTGATGTTGTTATTATGTGTCATGTATGCCTAGCCTAACCTTTAACATACCATGTTCTTAAATTATGCGCTTATGTATCTTTATGTATATATATATTATGTAGCTATATGATCCGTCATATACAATTATATAGTATAAACACGTGCACAAGTTCTTTTACACAAAGATCAGCTCATAATTTATGCATAACCCATGTTATAGCACAAAGAAAATTGTCCAGCTCATTTCACAATTAGTGATGTTGTTATTATGTGTCATGTATGGTTAGCTTTTAACTTATTGACATAAAATTAATTGAATTCAATGAAATTTTTTTTCTATTTATAACATTTTTAAATGTCGATAGACGCTTAAATCCGGCCACCAAATCCAACGGGGGGCCGGATTTGATAAAAAAGCCGAAATTTGGCCGGGCCGAACTTCGGTGCATCCCTAATATATATATATATATATATATATATATATACATATTGGATTTTTAAGACTGTCAGAAATGCAATTATTGATGGAAATTACTGTTTAATTTTTCTAACGGTTGATCGTAAATCATTCTCAAGTTTGTTGTGTTCAAAACCAAATTTTTTTAATTATTTAGCATTATCAGCATGATAGAACAAAAAAGGTCTTCTCGGTATTCCTATACCATCTTCGGTGTTCGAATTGATTCATTGTGTATGTGGCCAGAGGCTGAAATGTAGATATATACTGTGTCTCTACTTTGTTGATTCCTTGTTTGTTTAAAGGGAATACTTTACTATCGTTTAATTAGTTATTACAATCTTCAACTTTGTGCATTATGACACTTTTACGTGTCATCATCATCGATGATTGCTCTGTTTCTAAATTTATTAGTGGGAAGGGTTCCAATTGCACGTTTTTTGAATATCTATTATCGAATGGTGGTACGTAGAAGAGCTGTAAAAGTCATTCCACAACCATTGGATTCAAGAAATAAAGGTTAAGAATTAAATTTTTAAATTTTGATGTCAATATGAAATAGCAAATATTACAAATGATCAATATTAAAGTAAAAAATAAAATCAATAAAAAGTTTCTATGTATGGTATAAATGGATATATACAGTGTTGTATAGATTACTTTTGGAAAGTAATCTGATTACAAATTACTTTTAAAATTAGCTTGAGATTACAAATTACTTGCAATGATGTGTCCGATTACAGATTACATCATCAAACTTTTTGATATTACAGATTACATCATAAGAATTTTATTTAATGAATGTCACATAGTTTTATGAATTATTGAATTATTAAATTGTAATTATTCATAAAATAATTTAAAAAATTGCATTTTTTTAAATTTCATGAAATTTCAAATAAGTTTGAACCAGAAGCGACTTTGCTTATCCTGCTTCATAACGTTCTTGAGCAGACCAACTTTTTAACATTACATGGGCGGTCTAATTAAAAAGCATACGACGTCAATAGATAAACTATTTCTTTTGAATAAGTCTTTTTTTTAGTTTTTTAACTTTAAATTTTAAAAATCTTAGGTATTGTTGTCGTTAAAGTAATCTAAAATAAAGTAATCGTGACACCTGTTTAGATTACAGATTACACAAAAAATGTAATTTGATTACAGATTATGCGATTACAGATTCAAAAAAATGTAATTGTTTACGTAATCGGATTACTTGTAATCAGATTACTATACAACATTGGATATATATATATATATATATATATATATATATAGAGAATATATTTATATATAATACATACGTTAAATTAATCGTTTGAAGAGGAAACAATAAAATGAATTCAATGTCAATCATAGTATGATAAAAAAGCAAATAAATTATAAAAAAACCAAGAGAATTAAAAATAAAATAAACTATAAATGATTGATTGATAGATTTGTATTTATAAATAAGTTATAAACCATTTTGTAATGGTCGCATCATCGAATAGCAAAGAAAAATAAAAAATAATAAAAATCTTTCGTAAAATGAGTCTTTGGGTAAGTCAAACCAAAGACAATGTATTTACAATCCTTAAAGATGCTTGTATATATATGAATGAGTGACACCGTAGCCACAGTACATCGTAAATTTGAAGCACGTGTTGAAGATATCATTTTGATCGAATTTTTGTCGAGAAAAAATTTCGTTGAAGAATTAGAAATGGAAGACAAAGGCGTTGAATTGAACAAAAATTGCAAAATGGAGAAAGATAATGCTGTCGATAAGCCAGCAAAAATGGTTTTAATTTCCAATGAAGGCGGTCGCTACGAAGTTGATGTAGATTTATTACTACAGTTCAGTGATTATTTTCAAGCCTTGGCAAACAGTGGAATGAGAGATGCAAACTTCAAAGAACTTACGTTGGAGTGTCTTTCCGACGCATGTCTACAAGAAGTCGAACATTTTTTATCGAATGTACAAAGCAACGAGGATCATTTTGGTGCCAGGAACTTGTGCTGCGTGGAAAAAGGTTTAGAGGGCTCACTCTATCTTCAAATTCAAAGCATGACAGATAAATATCTCAATAATTTATTGGGCCTATTGAATGAATCAACTTACGCACGCATTTTGCAGTTCGCCAACAAGTTCGACTTGTTTGGAGCAATCGAAAGAGTTTTTGAGTTCATTTTCGACAATTTAAAGTGTATTATTTCGACATCCGAAATACTATCACTGTCACCAGATGGAATGATACGCTTGGTTGAATCGGAGCTTGTTAATGTTGACTGCGAGTTAAATATTTTCGATTTGATTGTAAGATGGACTGCAGCTGACGAATCGAGAAGGCAGTATGCAGAACAAATGTTCAGTAAGGTGAGGTACAATTTGATGGCGGTTTCCGAGAAAAAGAAGGCTAGTAACGTACTTAAGAGTGTAATTTTACAATTCTTTCAATCAATTTAAAGTGAGCAATGCTTCTGAGATGTTTTGAAAATTTTCATATTAATGGTTTAATTTTTGCCTCTTTTTTTGCTTTTTATTCTTGCTTTTTACGTTGTAATAATTTAAACATCCACATTTTCTATCTTCAAATCATTTTTGTTACTATGACCACTCTCCTTCGAGGTTAATCAAGGGCGCATGGAATTTTTTCTATAATTTTTTATTCTTGCTGGGTGTGCACTTTTCTCCACAGCGTCCATTCGAACAGAGCGAGGCTGGGTCCGCGGCAATTACCGCAGTATATCTTTCTTACTTATTCGATAGTACTTACCACTGCTTACTGTATAAATTATTTGGTCTGTGGTATATGTCTCTCTAGCGACACACACACACAGGACAATGATAAAAGTTATATTTTCAAAGTATTGTAAATTTTGGTTGTTTTATACACTGCATGCAATTGGCGGAATTTATTCAATTAAGTTTTTGAAATAATGAATTTTTTTTACAGGGTGAACATCCTTTCTCTTCAATATCGATTTATAACTTTGTCAAAAGTTTAACTAATAAACCTACAAAGTTTCCCTTCGAAGATTTCAAGGATACTAAGATTCGGGGCTTGCTTCCACTTTTTGAAGGCCACAGCATTTGTACGGTTAATAACCGGATATATTTTGCTGGCGGAATTTACGAAGGTGATGCCGTAACTAAGCGCGTCAGAATGTTTAATGGAATAACCTCAAAGTGGTCACGGGTTAGATAATTTTTTCAAAATGTTTTCAAACTGTTTTCATAAAGATGAGGCTTTTGAATCAACTTGAAGAATTTAATCACACCTACAACGCCATTATAAAAATTCAGTTAACCTGAATGAGTTGCAAATGTGTCCATTCATTATTTCAAATGTAATTTTAACGATTCAAATTCTTACTAAAAACAACTAAACCAACTTCCAGCCATCTAGTATGAATGTCGCACGAGCTTTTTTCTACTTCGGTGAGATGGGAGGACATTTGTATGCGGTTGCTGGTATGACTGTTTTACGGGATGTCACATTCACTCAGACAGCGGAAAGGTACATTCCAGGAAAAAACAGATGGTATACGATAGCACCTCTGCCTGTTGCTGTCATCTCCTTATCAGGTTTTGTACATTTTCTTTTGAAACAACTTTTTCTGCTAGTGAGTGATGGACGGACACTTATAAATAATTAATTTCATTTGTAGGTACTGCATGTAACGGTTTGTTGTACGTTAGTGGGGGGTACAAAGAAAATGAAATTTCAGTCAACCTGGTGTATATGTACAACCCCGCATGTAACCAGTGGTTTGAAAAGGCTCCCATGTTGACAGCACGTCAAGATCACGTCATGACGGCGTTGGGAGATAAAATTTTTGTCGTTGGAGGAAACTGTTTCGCAACCGAAAACGGCCTCGATACCGTTGAAAGTGCCATGGTTAGTTTGTGTTCTGCTTTGTGAATACAGCTGTTGAAATTTGTTGTTGGTCTTTATTATTTTTGACTGTTTCCTTATGTACATAAGAGCGTTATACTTAATTATATTTCAATTTTAGAAATATTCGCTTACAAATTGTTTATATCATAATAATTCCAATTCGATTCACTTGAATGTTTAATGAAATGAATAAACAGGACGCAGAGATGTTTGATTGCACAACTGAGCAGTGGACATCCGTACTGACACTTAAGCAATCTTTCTGGACTGCTCAACATAGCATTCTCTTCAACGGCTCCCTGCTCTGTTTTGCTCTCGATTGGTTAAACCATTATTATATAATACAAAAAATCAATTTGAAAAAGTATCTGGATATCAACAAATCATCATCAAATGAACACAAGAAGAAATATGACATAACAAATGCAACCGATACTGAAGAGGTATGTCACCTTTACTACTATCCAACTCAATCGGATCCGCTATGGACATGGGACCTCCTAGCAATCTAAACCACTTTTCCCTCCCACCATTCCACTCAACCAGATCTGAATATTCACGACCAGAGCTGTGGCGTAGAACATGCGGTAGTTTACGCCGTATACCCTGTGGTTTTTTCATAGGAAACTCCCATCTATACCTTCTAGCTTTGCCAAGGATATCATATACCTGTTGGTTAAAATGCGTATACCTCCAAAGCCTGTCTGCGTGTGTATATTTGAAAATAACAATATCGGCGCAACATGATTTCAAGGAGACACGGCTGCCTGTGTGTGTTTAAGTACTTGTATTCGTGTATGTACACATATATATGTAAATATATTTATATACATAAGCTTCATGTTTGTGTGTGTATTTACTCTATTATATGGCATAATTTTTGTACATTAAAGTTATTAATAATTAGTAAATAATTAAACAACTGATTAATTAATTATTCAATTGGTTTGTATAGTTATTTGTTGTCTTTATATTTTCTAGAGATTAGTCGCATTGTAAATTTTTCACGTTTCTCTAAAATTTTTCGTTGATTTTTTAATATCTTGTTGCTAATTTTGATTCAACTTATAGGAAAAAATTAGGATATTAATTATATAGTTTTATTTTTTTTCTGCTTGTCCGTGGACCACCATGTTGTGGAGTACTTTACTACAGTGAGTACATGTACATACCCGCACAGACAAACATACATACAGACACAGGTGCAAGAGCACATATTTTTTATTTATGGAATTTATAGATTAATTTGAAAAGGAAGAAATAAAATTAAATTTTATTAATCTGAGGTTTTTTCTATTCAATATTTTGTTAAAAATTAAAGCCAAAACAGATTACTAACTATATAATTATTATCATCACCACCATAGTTGTCTTCGTCTTTAATGTTATTTAACTTCCATTCATTTTGCTTGATTAATCTTTTACAATTAATCAATCACAATAAAATAATCCTAAACCCAATTCTGATCTGTTAATTAATTATTTGATGGTGTGCGGGTCGTTTTCTGGCTGGTAGGATTTGGTGAATGGCCAGAAGGCAGGCTTCTCGGGATTGTGGGCGTCATCAGGGAAGTAGTAAGCATGCAAGTCGACCGTCATCTCTTCAAGGTGGGGCACTGAATCAATCTTTGCTAGCTGAAATATAGCATACATAATCATAAATTAGGCAGCCCACTGGCGGAAAATTAACATACAGTAGACTAATGGTTGAGAATTAAAACAAATCAACAAAAGTTACAAATATATGCTTACGTACCAAATCTTTGGATTCACTGATGGTCTTCTGGGCATTCTCAATGAGCTTCTTGCTTTCTGCCATCTAGTGCCAAAATGTGTAATTAAACTTCCTTCATTTAGCCAGCAAAAAATTAGTAGACAAAATTCAAAAAATTTTCTCTTAATAATTCTATATTAAAATAAAAGTTATTAGCCAAGCAAAAAATAAATAACTTAATTCACACAATTTTACTGGGGATTAAGACAAACATGAAGCATTGTACAAGATGTTAATAGAGGATTAACACTAATACTTAGAACTTTCTAATAATAATATACTAACCAATACAAATGACAACAATACTCACTGCTTCTTTTTCTTCTTCATCAACGACAGCCCTCAAGTTATTCTTGTCTTTGGGGAAAGGAACAGAAACAGCTGAGTACTGTTTGGAGTAGTAGTGATAATAAAAATATAAAAAATAATAAAAACTGTTATAATAATTAAAATAATAGTAGTACAACTATATGTAGGAATGTAAAAAAAGATTCAAACATCATCATATAGAAATAGATACATATTCAATTCGTAATACCAGAAACTATACTGACAGCTCTCTCAAATTCGGTCACCAGAGCAGTGTTAGCAATCCTTGATTTGTAAAATGCAAAATCTATTTTGGGGATATTTTCTGGATAACGGTGGACCCTAATTAAAAAAAAATTTAATTAAAAAATAAAAAACTAATCTTCTAGTTTCTAAGTCTACTAGTAGAAACTAAAACTAAGTCTTTTATTTAATTAAGTTTTAATAAATTAAAATACTAAAAAACAAAACTTGAGTCAGACTAACTTGGAAACGAAAAGATCAGATTTGGACTTGAAGGCCCTAAAATAGTCCATCTGATGTGGAGGGACTCGTTCGGCGAAGGCCGCCCAGTCGATTAGGGACTTGGAAATTCGTCTGCCAGCCATTTTATCGCCAATTAAATAATTTTCAACCTTGAATACCACCCAAGACAAAATATTTTGTTTTATTTACGCATGGACACAAAGACATTTATAAAATTTAAAAAAAATAGTTTAAACAAGCTTATTACAAATAAAATTACAATAATAGTTAATATAATACAAACAATTAAATAATAATTCAGTATAAATAAAAATTTATTTAAATGCGTAAATAAAAGATAAAAATAAACTGGTTGAACTACTTAGCATTCATCTCATATATGCCATTGTCATGTAAACAAAGGAATTATTTCACTAAGTTTCTTCAAAGTTTTTTCATCGTTTTTAAGCTTCTAAAATTAAAAATTATGCAAAAACTATTTTAATTATTTTTAATTTAAATCTTAAAATAAAAATTTAGAGACTGAATAAAGGTCTTTCTGCATCTTTAATTAAGCTTTTTTTTAACTCAAAATCTAAAATGAAAGCTTACTTTTACTAGCTGGCAGACAAGAAAACAAACCATTTTTAATTTTATAATAAAACATTTTATTGCGAAATCTTTTTATCATTTATTTTAATTTAATTGATTAAAAAAGAACGTAAGAGTTTTACTGTTTTCAGTGTTTTTTTGCCAAGAAGAACTGGCTTGGGATCTGACAAAGAAGTGGACACAAAACTGCGAAGTAAAATAAAGTTGGTGTAGGTAGTTGGTTAGGGAAATTAATGCATATTTTTAAATTAGAAAATGTGATGTCAAAGATGTAAATTGTTTCTTTTAGATTTAGTCTTTGTTTAGTGATTAAATAGTATACTAAATAGAAATAATTAATTTATTTGAAATAAATTAATTAAATAATATTCATTCATATAAATAATTTAATAGGTTAATTTTGTTAATAATAAGATAAGAGTAAAAAATTAATTAAGGTTAATTTTATTTCATTTAATCATTGATAACATAACACAGCTTCTATAGAACTAGAAACGACCAACTGACTGATAATCTCCCATCACTAATCAGCCACCATGAGCCAGGGCCAACTGTACACGACTGACTACTTACTGATGGAGACCGACAATGAAGCAGATGACAACAACGGCAGTGGGGTTGATGACGTTGACGAGGATAACGAGCTACCTCCGACTGACAACATCGTCATCATCGATTCAGTTGACCGAGATAATTACTGTTAAGCTTTTTATATACTTTATTAATAATAACTGTGATTTACAATAATAATTATTTTTATTATTCCTAATATAGTATAATATACATGAATTAATAATAATAATTGTGTTTTTAATGGGGGTGCAGATATTCTTTTCAAATTACTTTTTATTTATCTCATTTAACTAATTAATTAATTAATTGATTAATTAGTTAGTTAATTTTTTTTAATTAATTAATTTTATTATCCATGCAGCTCGCTGGAACCATCTATCCGATTTGGATGAATTCTTCACCAGGATCTATGCCTATGTTCAGAGGCACGGATTTCTGGCAATGGCCCTTCAGGACATCTTTCAGATTATGTTTGTACATCATCATCATCATATTTTATTATTGTTATTATTATCATTCTTTATTATTGTTTTTAATTATTATTATTAATTTTGGCCGATGAGTTGTTTTGTTGTGTTTTGATGTAGTATTTTTACCATACTCGCATCTATGGTATGTCGGCTATTTTGGTATCTTGTAGTTAGTTTTGCCATTATATTTTGGTAATGCTGCATTTCAATACTCCCTAGTTTGATATATATATATATAAAAAAAAAATTATGGTCTATTACCAACATATATATATATATATATATATATATATATATTTGAGTATTTATATTTGGGTATTTATACCTGGGTATTTATACTTTCTTCAGTATCTTATGGTACGTCGTGATATTCCCGACATTCATCTGCGTCGGAGTCAACTACGACGTGCTCTTCCAGGACCACTTCAACATCACGTACAAGGTCATCATCAATGACGCCATTCGACCTTGGAAGGAGGTCAAGGAAAGGTTGGTCCAGAAGTTTTAAATCCACTTTGACATCTCTAATAAGCTCTGACTTTAAGATTTAGCACAACGACGGCACACACTTGCATTCATAATACGTTGGGTATTTTGGTATACTGTAGTTTTGTTGTTATATTTTGGTAATGTTGTATTTCAATACACCCTAATATAGTATTTATATTTTGGTATTTATATTTATTTATACCCTACCCATAACAACACAACACAGCAACAACACATTAAACAACTGCACCATCTATGTACAACAACAAACAACTATGGAACACAACTGTAAAACATACAAACACAACAACTCCAACTACAAAAAACCCTTATCAACGACACTGACACGACAGATTCAACTACTTTCCAAGACAGCCAAACAACAACAACAGCAGCATGACTATGCACAAAACAATGCACAGCAACAAACACAACTGTAAGACACGCCAGCATACAAACACACAACAACACCATCAACAAACAAACACACAACAACACCAACAAACACACTACAACACCACCGACATACAAACAAACACACAACATACAACAACCAACAAACAACGACACTAACACAACAGGTTCAACCCATTTCTTATCCTCTTCCTTATAACATCTTCCTTTTACCTGGTCTTCAAAACTTTCAAGGGTCTCTACAACATTAGCAAATACTGGGAGATTAGGAGGTTTTTCACCTACGCTCTAGAAATTCAGCCTGTATGTTCTTGTTTTGGATGTACGCTTTTTGTTTTGTATGTTTTCGGTTGTTGTGTGTTTTGTTTTTTGTATGTTTTGTGTTTTTTATGTTTTTGTTATTTGTTTTTTTGTCTTGTTGTATGTTTTCTATTTTGTATGTTTTTCGTTTTGTATGTTTTGTTGTTGTATGTTTTTTTTATTTGAATTAATTAACTAACAAATCAACTAACCAATCCACCAATCAAATCGTCAATCACCTGACCAATCAATCAGAGTGAACTGGCAAACAAAAAGTGGCATGAGGTTCAAACCCTCTTGATGTTAGTTCAGCAAAAACTGCACATGTGTGTTCACAAGAACGAACTTACTGAACTGGGTTGGTTGGTGAATTGGTTGGCTGGCTGGTTTGTTGGTTGGTTGGTTTGTTTGTTGATTGATTGGTTGGTTGGTTGGTTTGTTTGTTGATTGATTGATTGGTTGGTTTGTTAGCTGGTTGTCTTGTGTGTTGAATGGCCAATTTTTAAATTGCTGCCTTATTTGACAGAAGCAAAGAGAATCACCACAAAAACAACCACCACAAAAACCCACCACCACAAAAACAACCACTACAAAAACAACCACCACAAAAACCCACAACAGATATCTACCACAGAATCCTTAGGTTCAAAAATTACATGGTTGCCCTGGTCAACAAATCTGTCCTGCCAATGAAATTCAATCTACCATTCTGGGGTGAAATGTTAGTAGGCTTATAAACACACATACACACACACATAAACGCACATACACACACACATAAACGCACACACACACATAAACGCACATTCATACACACACGTACACACACACACACACGCGCACACACACACGCACACAATCATATTTTGCAGTGTCTACTTCACATCTGGACTGAAGTACAACTACGAAATGATCCTATTCTGTTAGCAGCTGCCTTGGCATTCTTTTGATTGTTGTTGTTTTGTCTTCGTAATGATGGCTACGATTGTTACTATTGTTGTTGTTGTTATTATTATTATTGTTGTTGTTATTATTATTATTATTATTGTTGTTGTTGTTGTGGTTTTAGGGGGTCCAGGAGCTCCGTTTGCAAATAGCTGGCACCTTAGGAAAGAATACAAAAGTTATAACAAGAGGAAGGAGCTGGCCACCATGTATGTTGCTGTTGTTGTTGTCGTCGTCACTCTTTCACTCATTCATTAACTCACTCGATCATTCACTCACTCGATCATTCACTCACTCGATCATTCACTCACTCGATCATTCACTCACTCGATCATTCACTCACTCATTCATTAACTCACTTGATCATTCACTCACTCGATCATTCACTCACTCATTCATTCACTCGCCCATCCATTCATTCACTCATTCAATCATTCACTCATTCAATCATTCATTCACTCACTCACTCATTCACTCACTCGTCCATTCAATTACTCATTCATTGGCTCACTCACACCTTCCCTGCTCACTCATTCATGATTATACAGATTGTCGAGGCGTATATTTATAGCGGGAATAATTAACCTGCTACTAGCTCCTGTCATATTCGTCTGGACCCTGCTCTATCTTGTTATATCACATTTTGCTGTAAGTATGCTTATGTGTTTCTTTTGTTTGTTTGTGTGTTTCTTCGTTTTGTTTGTGTGTTTCTTCGTTTTGTTTGTGTGTTTCTTTGTTTTTTTTAAACGCCACAATTTGTTTTTGAAATCTAAACTACGTGGCATGTTAGACCGTCAAGAAACATATACAGTACGATAAGTTAGATTCACATTTTTTCTGTTAGTATGTTTGCTTGGTAGTATCTTTGCTTGTTAGTATGTTTGTTTGTTTGTTTGTTTGTTTGTTTGATTTTGCAATGTACTTCTATAATCGTTAGTGCCTCCGAGATCTTTTCAAAGGGTGCTTAAAGATATGCTAATAATAATGAACAAACATGACTTGCAAACATTCTTGACCTATAAACAATCCTGACCTATAAACAATCTTGACCTTTAAACAATCTTGACCTATAAACAATCCTGACCTATAAACAATCCTGACCTATAAACAATCCTGACCTTTAAACAATCTTGACTTATAAACAATCCTTACCGACAAACAATGATGACCGACAAATAATCTTGACCTATAAACAATCCTGACCTATAAACAATCCTGACTTTTAAACAATCATGACCTATAAACAATCCTGACCTATAAACATTCCTGACCTATAAACAATCCTGACCAACAAAACGACTTATTAGTTATTCAGGACTGACCCTGGCCAAGTTAGCTTGCGTAGTTGGTCCCTGTATGGCCGGCAATACCTGAGGCATTTTAACGAATTGGATCACGATTTTAATGCGAGGTTACTGATTCGTTGATTGATTGATTGATTGATTGATTGATTGATTGGTTGATTAAATTAATAAAAAAGTTATCAATTCATTGAATGAATGAATTATTAAATGATTGATTGATTAATTAAATGATTGATTGATTGAGATTGATTGATTGACTGATTGAGATTGATTGATCGATTAATTGATTGATTGACTGACTGATTGAGATTGATTGATTGATTGACTGACTGACAGGTTGAACCGAGGTTACAGGGCAGCAGTGAAGTACATGGGCTTGTTCTGGTCTCCTGTCATGGCTGCCATTGCCCAGTAAGGGTCATCTCATCATTTCTTCTATCATCTCGTCACCTAGCATCAAAGTAGTCGTCACCACATCCCCCCAATCCTCACCACCACTTAAACATCACCACATTCACCCAATTCTCACCAGATTCATAGTGGTTATATCCTCTGGTTTCCTCATATTCTTCGTGATTTGCGCTGTGACAGACGAGGACACTCTGGCTGTTCAGGGCGTCATAAAGATCATGACCCTCTTGGGCCTGGTTGTTTCCGTCGTTCGGCATTTGATTCCTGATGAGGTTGGTTGACTGGTTGGTTGGTTGTCTGGTTGGTTAATTGGTTGGTTTGTTTGTTGGTTGGATGGTTGTCTGGCTGGTTGGTTGCCTGGTTGTGGGGTTTGTTGGTTGGTTGGTTGTCTGGTTGGTTGTTTGATTAGTCGGTTGGTTGATTGGTTGGCATCACCGACGACATCATTATCATCATTACTATTCTAAAAATAGAACATGGTTCGCAACCCTGAAACCCTGATGACCTTGATACAAAGCCAGACGCATTACATGAATGACTCGTGGAAAGGTCAGGCCCATACTAGGAAGGTCATGGACGAATTCTCGCAACTCTTTCAATACAAACTGGTTTGTATGTTTGTATGTATGTATGTTTGCATGTATGTATATATATATATATATATATATATATATATGTATGTTTGCATGTATGTATGTATATATATATATATATATATATATATATATATATATATATATATATGTTTGTTTTGTATGTATGAATGCATGTATGTATATATGTTTGTTTTGTATGTATCTATGTATGTATGTATGTATGTATGCTTGTTCATTTTTTGTATATTTTAAATGTGTTTTGTTTGTATGTATGGCTTATGTATATGTTTTGTGACTGTGTGCGCGCATAAACGACTACACCAGCCACAACAACCGCACCAGCCACAACGACCACACCAGCCACAACTACAACAGCAGCATAACATCAACAACAACAGGTGTACCTAATCAACGAAATGGTCAGCGCCATCGTCTGCCCTTTCATCCTCATCTTCTCCCTCAGACCCAACTCCCTCCAGATCGTTGACTTCCTTAGAAACTTCACCGTGACCCTGGAAGGTGAGATAGTGACGGTGAAGGAGAGAGGATGATGATGATGATGGTAGTGGTAATGGTGATGAGGAGGAAAGATGGTGATGATGGTGGTAATGGTAATTTGGAGGTTGATGATGACGAAAGGATAGGAGATGATTATGACGATGATAATGACGACGATGATGATGATGATAAAAGAGAAGAGATGATGATGATGAAGGATGATGATGGTGATGATGGTGGTGGTGGTTTTACTAATAAGGCATTGGCGACGTTTGCTCCTTTGCACAAATGGACATCAAAAAACACGGACATCCAGAGGTTTGTGTTTGTTTGTTTTTTTTCGTCTTTTGTAGTGACGTCATTTCTTATTGTGACGTCATGTTGTTATGGTCGTCATCGTCATCATCATCATCCCACAATGATTATCGTTATCAATTTCATCGACGTGTTCATCTTAATCGCCATCCTAACTTGCTTCAACTCTAATCATCATCACGATCATCATCATCACAATCATCACCAGTGGAACGCCCCAGGCAATTTAGAGCTGGAGTCTCCAGAGAATAAAACTCTGAGGGCGGAGTTTGGCAAGACCGAACTGTCACTCATGAATTTCAAGGTCGTCGGTGGTGGGTGATGATAGCGATGATGATGGCGATGATGATGATTATGATGTTGTAATGGTACATACGGTACACACGCACACTCACACACACACGCACGCACACGCACGCACACACACACACACACATACAGTTAACGAATCCTGACTGGAAGGTTCCTGATTTCGAAAATGCGTTCATCAACAACATCAGGCAGAATGGTTCGTTGGCCTTCCATACTTTTTGTTCATTCACTTATTCGTTCATTCATACATCCGTCTATCCGCCTGTCTTTTTTGTTCTTTTATTCATTCGTCTAATTTTCTGTCTGATTTTTCATTTGTTTATTTTTCAATCCATCTATCCATCCATCCATTCATCCATCCAGTGAACTCGATGCGTCGGGAGCGGGGTTTGTTGACGGGTGTCCATGTGCTGGAGGACGAGGATCCCATGATGACGTCATCGCAAGCTCTCTCGGCGGTCGGCCAGCCTAACGGGGTACGATGATGATTTGGGAGGGATGATGATGATGATGATGATGGATCTCTATTTTTCAGCCACCCTAACTCACGTCATTGTCTTTGTCATCTACGTCACAGTGCCTCCTCTCAAAATTTTTCCCTTCGCGGACCGACTACAAATTAAAGTTAATTATATATATATATATATATATATATATCATTAAATTCATATATCATGATATATTATATATATATATATATAGTATATGTATATTGATATATTACAATGTGTATATTTCAATTTTACCAAACCGTCATCACTCCTAGCGTCATCACGTTGAATATTAATTAAACCATTAAACCATTTATTAAGTAAACCAGAAGCCCGTATACGGAGCTTGTAAGGTAACTAAAATATCAACAAAATTAAAAACTGTTCAGACAAGAATTAAATGTCAAAATTACTATAACAATTAAACTAACAAATTTATAATAATGTTAAATATTAACGTACTAGAGATATGAAAATTACAGTCATTATGACTTCCTCAATGGCCTTGCTGACCATTAATGACCATTTCTCATTAATTTTCAAAATTTTTGGAGCCTCATCTACTAGTTGTTGAGAAGCGCTGATCTGCGTCATCATGATCGCATCCACATCGTCGTCGTCATCATCAGCATCGTTATCAGCATCGTTATCATCATCGTCGTCATCATCATCATCGTCGTCACTTCATCTACCACAGTTTCAGAGCGTCATGTTGAGCAGTATAGCGCCGGCCAGTGAGTACAGCAGCATGTTCGTGACGGACGGCGGCTTCTCCCACCACCACGTGCGACCCACCGACCTTCATCTGCCCGTCACGTTGAACTCTCAAGGTCAAGGTCAACAGCTGCAGAGAAATCAGCTAAGTGGTAGGGATCTGTTCTCCTCGAACGTCATCGCGAGCGGGGCGGGTGTTTCCGGTGCTGATGGCGTTAGTGGGGGTGGTGGTGGAATTTCGGGGCAGATCGGCGGCGCTCTTGGCGGGAATGTCATTAAAACGTGGCGAGGTTGGTTCGTCTTGTTGGTCTTGCTTGTTGGGTGTTCTCATTAAACTGTCATGCAGCGCAGTCTGGTGGAACAATGTCAATGTCCTTCGTTTGTTTCATTTTTGTATACGCATACATAAGCCCATATTGTAGCACGTTGTTGGTGTCAGACTCTTGTTGAACAATATACATGCACGCACACACATACAAACACACTCACACACATACAAACGCATACAGAAAGAACTTCAACATCAGAGCCAGCAACAATTATCCCAAGTCAGAATTACTCTGATCATTATCAACATCACCGTGATCAAAACAACCACCACCATCACCTCCACCACCATCATCATCACCATCACTCAGGAACTGTGATGAACGCCAGTTTGAATGAGAGTAGGTTGGAATTACTCTCCAGTGAGATGAGTTACTCGGCTCTCTACATGTATGAGAACCACCTTCAGAGGTAGCCATCATGGTCATGATGACGATTGTGATGATGCTGATGTTGATTGTGATGATGCTGATTGTGATGATGACGATTGTGATGGTGATAATGATAATGAGGATTGTGGTGGTGATGATTGTGATGGTGATAATGATGATGAGGATTGTGGTGGTGATGATTGTGATGATGATAATGATGATGAGGATTGTGGTGGTGATGATTGTGATGATGATGCTGATGAGGATTGTGGTGATGATGATGGTTTTGATTATGATGATGAGGATTGTGGTGATGATGCTGATTGTGATGATGATGATGACTGTGGTGCTGATGATGGTGGTTTCGATTATAGTGATGATATTGATGATGATATTGATGATGATGATGATAGTACTAATCCTAATAATTACAACCATATTCATAACCATAAATATTGATAGTGATGATTGTATTCTTAACATTACGACGTATTTTCTCTCAGCGTCAATAGCCATTTTTTAAAATCGTAAAACAATAATAATTATAATATAATAATAATTATTATTATTACTATTATTATTATTATAAAATTAATAATTTAATAATAATAATAATCATAATAAAGATATTAATGTTTATAACCGATGATGATGATGATGTCGATAAAATTATTTCAAAGGAGATTTGACCCTTCAAGGTCTATTTCTTCTCAAGGTCAAGGTCAAGGTAATAATAATAATAATAACATTAATAATAATAACAATAATAATAATAGTAATAATAATAATAACAAAATGGCAATACCTCAATAACGACACAACACAGTAACAATATTAATAACAATAATAATAATAAAGTAATAACGATAACCACCTCTTATTATTATTATTATTATTATTATTGTTGTTGTTGTTTTTGTTATTGTTATGCTTTAATTTAATTTTATTTTTGTGCTTTTCATTAACTAAGCTTGCTTGTTTGCTGGTTGGTTTGTTTCGCTTTGGTTTCTGTTGTAAATATTATATAAATAACAACAACAACAATAATAATAATAACAACAATGGTCTAATTTTGCCTGGCAGCATGCAAACAGACACCTACAAACACACACACACACACACGTACAAACACACACGTACAAACACACAGAGAGACACATACAAACACACACACACAAACAAACGCTTCGCCTTGGTTTCATAAATAATAATAACAACAACAACAATGGGAAGAGATCTTTTATCTTTGATCAATTAATTAATTAATTAATAGAGAAATAGTCATGATTAAAATAAAATTAAAATAAAATCATAATCATTGATAATATGATAATAATAATAACAATGATAATAATAATAATATAGCGAATTGTTGTTGTTTTTATTGTGGTTCTTCTTCCGTTTAATTTCACTGCCATCCTTATTTCAATGATTTTTTTCCTACTAAAATCGTGCCTGTTATTTCTTACAGTCATCATTATTATTGTTGTTATTATTGTTATTATTATTGTTATTATTATTATTGTTATTATTATTGTTTTTATTATTATTATTTAGGGATACAGAGGAGCGGAGGGGTGGAGGGCTCACAGGGCAGGACACTTCTACCTTCTTCACCCTCAGCTTACAATAACAACAACAATAATAACAATAATAATTTATCGTCCCCACCCAACACTAACCCCAATTCCACCCAACCGCGTCTGTCGAATATTGATGAGGAGGAGGAGCTTAATAGGCAGCAGCTGTTTAAAGGAATGTGATTGGCTGATTGATTGGTCGATCCGTTGATTGATTGGTCAATTGGTTGATTGATTGGTCAATTGGTTGATTGATTGGATTGATTGATTGAATGGTTGAATGATTGATTGACCGATTGGTTGATTGATTGATTGATTGATTGATTGGTCGATTAGTTGATTGATTGATTGATTGAGTTTATCGTTTGCAAAGCTTGTGTGTATGAGCGCTGTCTAATTTATCAACCAGTTCAACCATCAAAAACATGAACAAGTACGTACAAACAAACAAACAAACATCATCAACACGATCAATCATGTAATTACATATAACAACGCAAACAACAACATAGCCATGTGACCGATGTCAACAACGACAACAACATAGTCACATGATTAATTTAAACAAACAACTTCAACTTCAAAGTTGATACCACTTAAACGTAAATTTTAATGATCATTAAAATTTGCTTCATAAATATAATTTTTTCTCATTAATAATAACTATTATTATTTTATTATCATCGCTTTTATTTATTATTATTATTCTTTTTCCAAATTAGAATCATCATCATTATTATTATTATGAAAAATTTTTTATATTAAATTCTCAAATGCAAAACGGCACGGTGGAAATATATTTGATGTTTACGTGTATATAGACGTGTGTGTGTGTGTGTGTGTGTGTGTGTGTCTGTGTGTGTATATGTGTGTCTGTGTGTGTGTGTTAAACTTTTTATGCATTATTATTTAGCACTGTACATTTACTATTTAATTGCTTATTAGGCTGCAGTTTGACAAACTTAACTCTCTTACTCTAGGTTGTTGTAATTATATTAAATTATTATTATTATTATTGTTATTTTGTTTTTCTATGTTTTATTAAAATGATGGTTATATTAAATATGACTATATAATGATAATGATAATAACAATTATTATTATTATTCATTATTATTATTTTTATTTTATTTTTCTGTTTTATTAAAATGATGATAATGGTTATATAAAAATGACTATATAATGATAATGATAATAATTATTATTATTCATTATTATTATTATTATTGTTATTTTATTTTTCTATGTTTTATTAAGAATAATAAATACGCTTTGATGTATTGAACGGTTTTTATGCGTGCCATTGTTTAAATATTTGAAAATTGTTTCTGTGCTTTATGGTTAGATGTATGTAAATTTTTTAAACTTTCTTTGGTAGCACTCAGTCGCTTTATTCTACTGTTATTTTGATGTGTGACGATGATGATGATGAAGGTGGTGATGATGATGGTGACGATGATGTTCAGTCGCTTCTTTAACGTTATCATCATCATATTACTGTCATTTTGATGTTTTACGATGATGATGGTGGTGATGATGATGGCGATGATGATGATGTTATATGATGACTTTATAATTATGGTTACTTACTTACGGTTATATTTTAGTGATGTAATTAATTTTGACAGATGAGTATTTACTGTTATAATTTAGTTGGTCGATGGTCTAGTGTGATCTGGTTCAAAAGTTAAACAGTATCTATATCTGTTTATGTAAGTGTGTGTGCGTGCATGTCTGTGTGTGTATGTGTGTGTGTGTGTGTTTCTGCTTGTACATATATTTTGCAGAAATTAAAGAAAATTCTTACTTTTTATATTCTTTAGCTCCATTTAAGCCTGCTGGTTTCTTAATTCTGTGTAAAAGTGTATATATATATATATATATATATATAGAGAGAGAGAGAGAGAGAGAGAGAAAGGGGGGATGAATAAATAGAGAGAGGGATGGATAGAGTGAGAGAGGTAGAGAAAAAGATAGGAAGTGGGAGAGTGAAGAGTGATAAACAGAAGGAGATGGAGTATGAAAAAAAATTAACTGTACAGAACATAGTACATATATATAATATGTATTTGACTTATATAACTGTGTGAGTGAGTGAGTGTGTGGTGTTTTGAAAAAGAAGAGAGAGAGAGAGAAAGAGAGAGAGAGAGAGATGTATATACCGGTCTGTACATATTTACGTTACTAATCTATCGAGTGTGTTTCCAACTTTCTTCAAAAAACTGTTCATGTGTTGAATGATTTCATTTCATTGCATATCTTTTTAGTCTCATTATTTTCATTCTGATGAACCATCTAGACCGAAATCTTAAACTTAGCTTTTCTTTATTATAAAAGCGTAGAAGTTGGGACGATGATGATGATGGTGATTGTATGGATGGTGATGATGGTGGTGGAGAAGAAGATGATGGTGATTGTGGAGATGAAGATGATGGTGATGATTGTATGGGTGATAATGATGGTGGAGAAGAAGATGGTGATGATTGATAATGTTGGTGATAACATAGATTATTCATTTCTAGTCTTTTAATGTTAAAATTATGTTATATATTAATTTTAACGTATGAACGTCGTCGTTCTATCACTGAGATCATTTTAATTAATTAATTGAATCAATTAATTAGTTTAATTAATGTTTGCTGCAATAAAATAATCAACTCCCCAAGATTGTATCGTATTGTATTGTATGGTAATTTTTTTTAAATTTATACCGAATAAAAGTAATTAATTAACAAATTGAATAAAAATCAAAAAAATTTTAAATTTTAACATTTTAAATAAAATTTAAAATTAGTCTTCTTCTAGGATTGTTTATTGTAACTCGCTCTACTATGGTCTTCCTGACTCTACTCTATCCTTTAAGTAAAGCTTTTAACTCTGCTGCTCGTCTAGTTGCTCGTGCCTCCTTCTTTTCTCATATATCTCCATATCTTGTTCTCTTGCACTGGCTA